GACCTGAAAAAGATATTTGTGTAAGGTAAAAAATTGGTTTTCGTGATCAGCAACTTTCACTCTATCAAATAATGTGAAAAAAACGGCAAAAAAAATGTTTACTTGAATTTCGCATTGCCGGCACCTTAAAAAGAACTTTTTCTTTCGAAGAAACAGAACTTTTCATTTATAGACATTTATACAGGTATACCTTACGGATGATCTTATCAAATACTGTTTTAACTTATCGAGTGACGTGTTTTATACGAAAAATGACGATCAAATTTCATCTGTATCTTATATAATCAGCTATCCTTTATTTTTTTCCGACGATGTCCTGGACCACCAGACTAGACTGTTTTGATGAAATATAAGGAGAAGTTACATTGCCAGTAACGATATTCTCATTAAAATATGAAAACTATTCTGTGTTATATGGTGATTCAAATACATAGGAATATATATACCAGGCTATTTCAAACTTAGAACTGGAGTCATGCAACGATACGATCGATCAACTCGATGGACGGGTATTCTTGAGTCGTTGCCTGGCAATGAATATTATATCATAGAAGGTCTGAACGATCGTACAACGAATATTGATTATAAATCGGCCAATGAAGTCGGTCGCAATGATAAATACTTCCTATCCATCTGTCTTTATACTCATGCTTTGTTAGATTTAGTGATTGTTATGCTCGATATTGAGGATTTAAAAGAAAGAATTTAATAATCGATCCAGCAAAGGGAAAGGCTTCCTTCTAGAAATGATCGTCATAGTTTAAGTACTTGTAATAGACCATTGTAAAGAATAATTTTATTATCGTAAAATACAATCACTGATACACATGTCTTATTGTTTGTCGTCGGATATATTAGCAATAAGCACCGTTTTCTAATTTTGGGGCTACTATGTTTTGACTGAATATTCACTTTTAAGAGATTTTTAGTATCGGTTGATACTTGAATTGCATATTCACCATGGTCACTGACATGTTCCACGACATAGCTTTTTGCCATTTTCACTTGAAAAACACCGTAGGTTAGTTTTTCTCACTCTTCTTTTGAAAACTTAGGAAAATCGACGGTTGCATCACTGGCTTTTAACGATGTCCATTTTTTAGCTTTCATAAACTCCTTGTCATTCAGCTTTGACAATAGTTTATTCTTCTCATCTCTCTTTTTTTGCATTTCACGAGCTATTTCTT